CTTAGTACCTCTGCTATGACTAAGATCGCAGATTGTTAAAACATGCTTTTGAACAAACATTATAGCATAATTTTTTGTAGCATACATGATCCGATGCTACTAGATGCTTTATCTAGATATAGGGAATAAGCTTAAAATTAAAAAAGTCTGCAATAGCTAAAAAATGTTTGAAATCCAATTTCTTCATTTGGTAGACAGAATTTTTTTTTTTTTTTTCGAAGAGCAGGGATTGCTCTGATTAAACCAAGGGGACTAAATATTTCAACAGGAGAGAGTGCTCTATTTGACTGTGGATATTATAAACATCTTGTATACTAAAATTCCCTGAACTGGATAAAACGGAGATAGCACATTATAATTTTTACTTTTAAACAGGATTAAGGAGATAGAACAAAATGTAATGTAAAGTATAGTTTAGTGATTTATTTGTAAAAAATAATTATTTTATTCATAAAAAGAAAAAAAATTGATAACTCAATTTTTTTGATTTGTGGAGATAGAACAAAATAATTCTAGCCTCGCGACATCTCGACGTATGGCTGCACAGCACGCGGTATATATATTCTCGTTGAGGACATTTTGAATACTGCTGAAAGACCATCAAAGACCATCAAAGAAGCTGAAAAAATCATTAAGTTTGTGAAAAGTTATCACATTGTTAAAGCAAAGTTTGATGATAAGAGAATCGCAGCAAGTATTCCTCGCTCACTCACATTCCCTGTTTTAACTCAATGGCTTAGTCAATTTTTAACTCAATGGCTTAGTCACTGACGACCTTTTTATGGCATAGTATGTTTTTATTCAACTTGCGGATAAAAAAATGCATCGGATGCCAAGAAATTGCTCCAAAAACAAATTCGGCTGCTGTTTTGACGCTAATTAAACCAAATGCTTTCTGAGATAGTTAGGCAATACTCGTGAAAGATATCGAATAAACTTCTAACATCATGAAAAGACTTGAAAACTATGATCCTCCGTTATCTTTGGTGTACTATTATTTTGGTGAAATGTACAAGAAATTTGCAAATGAGGATGTTATTCAGGAAATGGTTATGAAGCGTTTTAAACTCCTTATCACCTCAAATATGGGAATTGCCTATATCCTGACACCGAAGTGCTATAGAAGGATTCTTGCTGAGACAGTTGAAATATATATATATATATATATATATATATATATATATATATATATATATATATATATATATATATATATATATATATATATATATATATATATATATATAACAATAGTGTTTTGTTGGCCAACAAAATACTATTGGTCCCAGCCGGCACAACTCAGAAAATAGTTACGCTTGGTTTCTGTTACATAACGGTGAAACCATTAATACTTTAAGTGGTATTTATGGTAAAAAGTAATTGTTAATTTCACGGAATAAAAACCATTTTTAATACGTGTTATTCTTTTTGTTTTAAAAGGTTTTAAAAACGCAACAGAAACCAAGCGTAACTATTTTCTGAGTTGGCTGGGATATATATATATATGCCGGCTGGGATATATATATATATATATATATATATATATATATATATATATATATATATATATATATATATATATATATATATATATATATACTTATATATATATATATATATATATATATATATATATATATATATATATATATATATATATATATATATATATATATATATATATATATATGAAATCATGAAATCAAAAGTAGTGTTTAAATTTATTCTTTTAAAATTTAAATAAAAAATTGCAAAGACAAACAAGGCTATTTAGATTTTAAAAAGATAAAGAAACTCTCTTCTTTTGTACAGTATAACCAGCAAAAGAAAACAATCTTTTGCAAGATACAGATGTTGCAGATGATGCCAATTACTACCGTGCAATTGAGTCCAGTTTGCTGTGTGAGCATTCATGTTTGGACCATAACTATAATAAACAGGCCTCTGTACTGATGGTGAGCTCTGCTCTTTATTAACGCACACTGTTCTCAATTGAGTCTTCCTCGTTTTCAGAATCAGACTCTAATGAAGCAACCAATAGAGCAAACTTTTTCTTTGATGGCTTTAATGCTTCCAAAGATTCATCTGCATTAACCCTCTGTTTTGTGAGCAATTTAGTGACTGGGGCCCACATTTCACCTCTTGCAACTCTGGGTATACACTTAATGTTTTTAGTTTGCAATTTTTAGATATACAATGTTGGCAATTTTTTTGCGTGTATACAGCTCTGTTCTGAATGTAAACTTTAATTTGACCAAGAGGTAGGGTCATCATCTGAGCTCTTTTTCACCCGAGAGATGGCGAAAAGCAGGCGGAACCACAGAATATGAAACATATTTTTCTCTACCCAGAAGTTTGGTCACATACCTGCAAAAGATCTAACTCATTTTTACTTAAATATTTGGCATAAACGTATACACACAAAATAATTTTGTTATATTCATGTTTATATACACATACATACAGACACATTAACTCTCTCACACAAGCAATCAGACCAGTCGGTGAGAAATATGTGACGTAAAAAATACCTGCAGGGCTTCAAGTGCTTTTCCACCCTCTGCAATTTGTCTATTTGATATTGATATAACAATCTTTGTGTTGTGTGTGGTGAGGACATCCCTCAAGGGCTGGTCATTTCTGCGAATACTTAACTATCTAGAATCAAATTCCATCAGGTTGGAATGTCATAAACATAGTAAACCTTTGTTTTAAATTTTCTTTTAAAAATCTGAAAGAAATATTTGGAATTTAAAACAAAAGCGAAGCACATTTTTAATTTCTTCGTAACTCCACTTAAAACATTAATGAAAATTATGAGGAAACAATTTTATAAAACTGGCGCAAATTTTTATCAACTTAAAAAATTAAATATTACTTTTTGCAAAATTAATACGCAATATTTTTTTTTTTACATACCAACATATATGATTAGAAATGAAGCAAAGCGCAAAACTTAAACGAAAAAATACTTAAGTAAACGTAAAAGTAATCATTTTTAAGAGTACTTAAGCGGTAAAAATTAACAAAAAAACTACTCAATTACAGTAACGCAAGTAAATGTAATTCGTTACTTTCCACCTCTGCAGCTCACCATGTGACCATTAATAACAACCTAATAATAGTAATGATTTTTAGTAAGATATTTTGAAAAATATTTGAAAAATTGGATTCTCGTTTGACAAAAGTAAACTTTGTTTAAATTTTATAAGTATAATGAAAATGGTTATTTATGTTCAATAAACATCAGGTTAAAAATGTTTTTATATCTACAATCGTATAGAATAAAAATAAAACTTAACATCATTTTGACGTAACGTTAATAAATCATCATTGAAATATCAATGATGCGTAATTACTCTTTTTTTTTAATCAAATTAAAAACCCCCCTATTTTTTTGATTTAAAACATTAAAAGAATGGTGTTATGGAGTAATAAAAAAGATTCAATCTTCAGACCTTTCCCATTTCTCAAAATGGCTGATTTTTAAGCGATACTTAAATCATTTGTTAACAGTTTGATGAATCATAAGTATTTTTGTAAGCAATACCCCCTAAATTTTTTTAAACCATTAAAACTACAATACAAATATTTAAAATTGTAAAATAAAGTTTAAGGTTTTAACTTGTAATATTTTCTGCTATTTGCTAAAGATCAATCTTTTATTCTCAATCTTGCATTCTTTAAATTATCAAATTGCATTTTTAAAATTATTAAATGCATGTTAATTTGGCTAATGCATGTTAAGTTAAGCTAATGCAAGATAATGGATGATAACGCAGTCTTGGTGCAGTGGTTAGAGTTTTGGATCAGATCCCAGAGATCCGAGATTCGAGGTCCAATAAGCGAAATTGAAAAGGAAGGAGGCGTGAACTTCCTAGTTAAATACTCCTCCGCGGTGCTCTGTGGTAAAACTGTTAGGACTTAAGGAAGCACTTTAATAACTACAAAAAAAAACAAAAAAAAAAACAGTTAAAACTCAACATAAAAGTCCAAATTTCTTTTTCAATTACATGTGTTTTTGAAATCCAAATTCAGCTCTCAGTTAAATTCGGATAAAAGGTCCAAATTCGTCTTTCAGTTAAATTCGGGGTAATGTTATAGCCTAAATTCGTCTTCCAGTTAAATTCGGGTCTTGAAAAGTCGACTTCGCCGGTCCTTAAGCATTACTATGTTAAAAATATAGGATTATAATAGACGTCTATTTAGACGTCTTATTATAGCTAGCTATATTATAGCTTTAGACGATATGACTTTTTGACAATTTATTTCATAAATATTATTGTTGAAAGACGAGTAAATATAAGCCTAAAAAATTTAGGTGACCATATCGGAAAAATGCACACGCATACAAGAAATAAATTTATGGAATTTTTTTAAAAACTTATTTGAACGAATATTTTTAAAAGTTTATTTGTTTAACAAAAAAATAAATTATGAAAAAAATATTAAACGAATTTTGAGTTTTTAAATCAAAAATATTTTCCGTCAGTAAAATTTTGTAAGAGCGAATTCTTATAAGCAAAATGTCATCGTTTTAATTTTTGTCTGCAAATTATGAGCAGTTAAGTTTTCTTTAATTAAACAAACAAAATAGCTACCAAACTTTTTCATTGAAATTTGATATTTCCATTAGTTGAAACTATCTTTAGTCGTCATCATCATCATCATCATCATCATCATCATCATCATCATCATCATCATCATCATCATCATCATCATCATCATCATCATCATCATCATCATCATCATCATCATCATCATCATCATTATCATCATCATCACCACCATCACCATCATCATCCTCGCAAGCTATTTTTGCAATAGCTTCCTCCCTCACACATATTTTTGTTATTACTCCATCAATATTATTGAAATTATAAGTAATATTTATTTTTACAAATATTTCTACTATATTTAAAAGTGTATTTATATTATTTTGATTTTTCTAGTAATAATTTATTATTATTAATTTATATTATTTTGATTTTTCTAGTTTATAATTATTGACACAATTATTGACATGGAAGTGAAATATTTTGTAACAGTTGGTATGGGACTAGTTATTGGTCTTGTTAGCTTTTTTTATTATTCATATTTTGAAAAAGAGACAACAGAACAAAAAGGTAGCATCTCATGGTTTTTATAGTATTTTTTAGATATTTACTTCATCAGGTTTCTTTTAATGAGATTAAATCTCTGCAATGTTTTAAGTTTTATTTATATCAAACAACAATGTCAGGAATTACAATGATAATTAAACACTTTAATGCAGCAGTGAATCAATGATAATTAAGCACTTTAATGCAGCAGTGAATCAATATATAGTAACACTGACCTTGTGTTTTATCGCCAATGATTTTTTTTCAATATTATGACATTTTTTTTCTAGTTTGTAACCTTTACTATATTTCAATTTAAAATAGATTTGGGGCTGCTAGTGTCGTTTTTTTGAAATTGTTTTATTGATTTTTGTTTAATTTAGTAAACTTCAGGTAGCACTTTAAGATTCCTTTAGTTATACTTTTTAGTTTTTGAGAAATTTAAATATTATGAGTACCTTTTTTTCATCAATAAAGTTCTCTGCTTAAGTGTTTTACACTCAAGCAGAGAACTTTAAAATTATGCACCATTTTTTAAATTATGCACTATTTAAACTGCTTGTTGTTTATGTTTTTTATTAGTAATGATGACTGCAACCTTATTTAGATTCTTCTAAAAGTATTGAATCAGAAGCAGTAAGTTATGTTTATTTATTTTGTTACAAATTCTTAAAATAAACAATTACAAAAATTAACTTTTATATAGGGAATCAAATACCAATATACCGGGATATCGAAAACCAGGACTTTAGTAGATTTTTCTAGTTTCGAGTACCTGTATTAAAAAGCTAAAATACCGGTATTTTGGTATTTGAATGGTTGTTTTTTTTTATTATTTTTAGAAATACATTAGCACTTATAACTTTAAAGAATATAACTTTAAAGCAATGTGTTAAACATTCTTTAGTTTTTGAGTTCTTGATTTGACATTTTTAGTTATATGGTGAGGATCTAAAAGTAAAAAAATGAGTTCACATTTATTCAAATTACAAAATCTTTATATACCTATTTACAAAAATCATAAAAACAGCAGGTGGCTCAACAAGCAGCCTTCATACAAATTTAAAAACAAAGCATGATGTAGTATTACAAAAACAAGATGCTATTGAACCTCTTGGTGAATCTAGTTCAATATCTGAATTGCCTCCTCAAAAAAATACTAAATATTTAAAAAAACTACAGAAGACTCGCTGGCAGCAATCTTATCAAGAATGACACCACTTGATGGGCTTCCATTCAGAATTTTCATCTGATGATCTTTGAAACTTTGAGCATCTGAACTTTGAATCTATGAAATCTGAACTTTGAATCTTTGAACATCTGATGATCTTTGAAAATCATTAAAAGCATTAAATTTAAGTGATGAACTTCCGAAATTTGCCATGACTATACAAAAAATTGCCACTAGTTATAGCGAATCTATTCATCAGTTAGTAATTAAAAAAATATCAGAATATAAATTAAATGGAAAAGGTTTTAGTATTTCTTTTGATGAGTGGACTTCCTTAAGGAACCGGCGGCACATAAACGTAAATCTTCACTTGGAGTCAAAGTTTTGGAATTTAGGACTTCTCCAAATCAATGCAAGTTTACCTGCAGAAAAATGTGTCTTACTTTTAAGTGAAAAATTGAATCAGTATGGTTTGTCATTAGAAAAGAATATCGTTTGTTTAACAAATGATGGTGCAGCAGTTATGCAAAAAGTAGGCAAATTAATACAAGCTGCTCAGCAGTTGTGTTTGGCCCATGCAATTCAACTTGTAGTTGTAGATGTTTTATATATAAAAAAAAAGAACCGAAGAAAAAACCATTTGCTCAAACGAATCAATAGACTTCAACTCATATTCATATGCCGAAGAGTACGAAAACTATGATGCCTTTGAAAATATTTTAAATACATACAAACTAAGTTTATTTATGGACTACGATATGCAAGAACAGGATACAGAAATAACACATAGTCAAATTGGTCCCCTTATACAAAAAGTAAGGAAAATTGTACAAATATTTAAATGTTCACCGTTAAAAAATGAGGTACTAAAGAATTATGTAAAGCTCGGATTTCGTAAAGAATACTTCTTAATTGCAGATTCCAAAACTAGATGGAATAGCTTATTAGCAATGCTCAAACGTTTTTCCAAATTAAATTCTTGCATTCAAAAATCTGATATAGGTTTAAAGCTTAATATAAACTTTACAGAAATTGATTTTGAAACAGTTTTAGCTACTATCTCAGCACTTTTGCAAAATTAGCCGTTGAGTCACTTTGTTGCAAAGATGCTAACTTAATTTCTGCAGATGCAGCATTGACATTTATGTTTGACAGGCTATGGAAATTAAGTCATCATTGAGCATTGAATTTCTGAGTACTTTAAAACAGCGTATTATTGCAGTTTAAGAACGCAGTTCGATTTAATTTCTTATCTGCATAAAGGTCTAGAAGGTATTAGAAACTCAAATTTTTTAAGTTTTAACTTTCCACAAGCATCAAAAGCGAGCAATCTTAATTCACTTTTAGGCATTGTAAATCCGAAGGGACTTTAAAATCAAAGTACTGCTTTTGAAGAACAAGCCCAGGAAATTCTTCCCTATAAGGTTATCGAAGTTGAGATTAATGAAGAAAAAAATTCTGAGAAATGAATGAAAAAAGAGATGCACAATGCCATTTATAAACAAGTTAACTATAAGGTTGTTGGGGATCCGAAATCAGAAAGAGCATTTTTTGCTGCTGGTATTATTTAAATAAGTTGCGATGCAGAATGGGTGACAAAACTCTGGATGCTCTTTGTTTTTAAGAGCTTATTTTCATAGAATAAAAGATAAAGGTTCTACCATATAGATCAATAAATCTGCTTTCTTTTCAAGTTTTCGTGATTCGTAAATTTATTTCCTTTCCTTTTAAAATTTAAAATATTTAATACCAGTTTTAATACCGGTTTTCCGGTATTTTAATAATATCGAAATACTGGTATTGATTTTTTGACCGGTATTCAGGCTTGGTCGGTAAGCGGAACGATCGCTCTTGATTGCTGACCACATAAATAATATTTAGTTGCGAAAAGCTGGCCTGATTTTTTAGTCATTTTGAGAACATTTTAAAAAACAAAAAAAAAAAGCGTACAAGATTAATTGGACCAATGAGAGACAGTTACAAAAAAAAAAAAAAAAAATTATGCAAATAAAATATCTTTATAAAATTTTTTTATAAAATTAAGCGGTATTTTTTATATAAAGTAACAACTTACGATTGTTTAAAAAGGAAACAAATATTCTTTATTTAACAAAGTTTGCAAGTTTTAGTTTTATTTAGGCTAAATTATTTTATAAATATAAAATTTAATTTTTTTAATACTTATTTTATGTTTCGTATATTTTGAAAAGTTTAACATATTTAAAGCAATTCTTCTTAGTAAGATAAACAAATGAAATAATTAAATCATTGAATTACTATAGAAATTAAATTAACAAGATAGAAATCAACTAAAAGGCTTAATAATACTTTATGACGAGGAAGCGAAACTGCTTCATAATATCGCTGATGATGTTTAGTGAGTGAGCTTTTTAATTTTAATTAGCATTTAAAGCAGAAAAAAGTATAATGAGTTTTAAGAATGGCAACTTAAGCAAAAATAATTAGAGTTAGTAAACCAATATCCAGAAACTTTTCTTTATATCTAATTATTTGCTATAAATATTTGTGTTCTGTCGTGACCTCAGGCGCTGTGCTTGTTCATCCGCAAGTTACTTTGTATGCATTATTTGTGTTTAGTAACCAGAAACTTCTTATATTTTTGTTACATAATTAGTTTTATTAACTTTAACGATTATAGCTACATTATAAACGCAATTATTTTTGTAAGTCTTTGTTTAAATCAAAAAAATTGCTTTAAAAGATACATTACGATAAAAAAACAGATACACAAAATTACATTTACATAAAGAATACATATTTTTTAAATAAAAAATTAGAATATACTAATAAAATCTATAATTTATCATAAACTTTTAAAATTTTGACAATTTAATTAATATATATTTAAAACATTTATTTTTGTAAACAAATAATATATATTCTTAAAACAATTTATGCTAGAAATCTCAAAACATCACAAATCGTGAATAATACAATTTTTTTAAAACATTTCAACAGAACACGTGAGAACTTTATTTTGCTTAGTCAGCATATTTTTTGGACCAATAGAATTAGTTTGTTCGTTAATTTGGCAGGTTTTTAGTGTTCGCGAATATTCTTTTTTATTCTTTCGTGCCAAGAAATTTTAAGAACATTCAATTTTTTAATGTTTCCATGTATGTCTGTAAAATAAAATTTTTTTGTTTCGTACATAAATTTAAATGTTCTCAAAACGACTAAAAAACCTGGCTAGTTTTTTGCTAACTAAATATAATTTTTGTGGTCAGTAATAGAGAGCGATCGCTCCCACTTCCCAACCAAGCCTGGGTTTTCCTACTTTTATACATAAAAATGTAAAATTGTTTCCTAACAATTAGTCTAGAAAAATTGAATTGCAGAGAATGAATGAATAGAACAATAGTTTAAAAGAGTAACAAAAGATCACTGAATACAAACTGCTTTTAAATTTAAAGATTTATTTTGATGTTATCATCATTTTAAGAAAATAAAAATGTACAGTTAATACTGAGAAAAAAAAGTATTAAAAATTAAAATAAAAATGAGTAACTATAAGCATAAAAATTATATAAGGTATAAAATTTAAATTAAGAGAAATAAATACACATTCTTCTGTTACAACTACTGTATTTTTCCAGAATAATGGATAAGTTGGAAAAACACTTGCTCAGCTGTGCAACAAATTATTATATGAGTAAAATTTGTAATATTCAAGAGTTTTCTGGTGAAATAGTTCACCATTTATTTCACCAGTTCACAAATTATTCTTATATAATTATTAAAGTTTTCTGGTGAAATAATTTAAATTATTCACCATTAAATAAGATTTTTGCTCTTAAATAGTTTTTTTTAATTTTTGCTTATAAATGGTGATTTTTACTTATAAATAGTGTTGTTTTTTTTGTCACAAATAATATTTTAAAGTATATTCTAGAAGTTTTGGACCATAGCACAGTGATCAGAAATAACTTGAAATTAGGCCAAAATTAAATTTTTTTGAAAATATTTATTCAAAACTGCTAAAAATTGGCTCTATAATGTAAAAAAGGTAAGCAAGAAAAGAAGAAACAGGGTGGAGAGTATTTTTTTTTGTAAAAAAAAACGAAAATGTAATTAAATAATAAATTTTGAAGTTTCATTTCTATCAATCTAAATTCTGTCCTTATTAACTATATAAAAATGATGTTTAGTTAACATATTTTAAACAAAAGTAAAAGTGATATTAACTTTTGCTTGCACACACACACACACACATACACACACACACACACACACACACACACACACACACACACACACACACACACACACACACACACACACACACACACACACACACACACACACACACACACACACACACACACACACACACATATATATATATATATATATATATATATATATATATATATATATATATATATATATATATATATATATATATCAAGCCTTCCCAGGAAAGGCGTGCGGTTTTTTGTCTAGT